GTGTGTGTTGTGTATGTGAAGAAAAATGTAGAGATTTAAAATGGAAAACTGCATGCCACCCTGTGGGCAATAACAAGGCCTAGCTATATGCTCACCCAACATCAGCAGCCCTCAACCTTACATCCCCTTTATAAGAGCTTTGGACAGTAAGCTCTGAGGCTTACATGGGTTCTTAGTGTCTACTCTGCTGATGGCAGGGATAAATACAGATTAAATATGAAGTCCTGAGCTTGCAAAAAGAAGACATTATTTATTTAACTGCTTACTCACAGACTTATCAGCATTCTACTAAAAACACTGTAAATTCTTTGCTGATGTTATGCATACTTGTCTGTTTTACAAACTAAGATAAATGGCTTTGTTAAGGAGTTGAATGGTTTAGTGTCTTATCAAAGTGTGTTTATAAACCTGTTTGCCCAGGAAAAAGGGGTCACAGAATGTCATTTCAGAACTGTATGTACAACCCTCTTGTTGACAGACACATGAACTGCCTACATTGTCATATGCAATGCTGAACAAAAAGAAATTCCAACCAACTGCTATGCTAAAGTCCTAGGGAATGCCACTGGCCTTGCCTGACAAAAACACCTGTCACGCTAGTCTGACATTTGCCACCAACATGGCTATATTACTTTACATTCCACTATTAAGTTTCACAATTTTTGTTAATTTTTCTGAGAACTGAAGTGATCCAAATTTCTCCGGAAAAAAAACACATAACAAAACTGAATTCTTCATTCTTAGGGTACATTGTTAAAAAAATAGTGGTCTGTCTTCAATAATTTCTGATAATGTGAATTAGAATGGTACAAAGAAATGAGAATATTTTCCTTCAAGACATGAGAAAGACAGAACTGGCCAAACCATGAAAGAGGGAATTCTGCCCTATCAGAGCAGAAGGGAGCTTCCGAGAGGTGGGTAAAATGTGGAGCTCTGAGGACACCAGAGAAAGTTCCCTGCTGATTTTATTTAGGGGTCTTTCCTCCCTCCTCTCCTATCTTTTTAATATCTTGCCTGATTTATCTTTACCAACTAATCTTCATAGATACCTGGTTCCTTCTGCACCTTATTTACTTGAATAACAGCAAATTCTTAAAAACTGCACATATAAGGAGAAAATATCTGGATCCCTTTAGAAATCTATTAACAGGCAAGTTTGCCCCAATACCATTTTGGTTAGGAACATCAGTGTGTCAGCCTGTTATAACATGAATACTAGCATTCTCCAAAGTGTCTGGGAGACTTAGGTTAAATGATCACCTGGAAGGTTAATGGTCTCTGAGGAGTCATTTTCTCTTTCAGAGATGCCTGCAAATGTGAGTTCAGTGGTGAGAGTAGGTAAGGGGTCACTTTGAGTCTGAGGAAGGGCCTTCAAGGTCGTGGTCAATCCTGTTATGTTAATGGGAGATGGAAGAAGAAGAAAATAAACATGTAACTCATATCCTGAAATGTCTGTTCATCTGCATTTACTCATTTTCCAGCCCCTACACCCAGACATCAACTATATGGGATTTATGGTATATATACATATATACAGACGTATATACATATACACATATGCATCACTGTATGGTTGTAGATTTTTAAATATATATTGCACATATGTAAATGTGAACATGTAAACATAACATGAAAATATAGATTTTTAAAGACACAAAATATTAGTTAAAAAGTAAATCAGGGAAACAGACTTGGAAGCAATTCCCCTCTGCTCTCTTCCTGTTGAATTGTTGGGTTTCCAGCTTCCCAAAGGTATTGAGTTCCAAAGAATGAAAGCCAGTGAGTAAAGACACCTAAAGGAAATTTGAAAAAACTTATAGATGATAAAAAATAATGGAGAATGATAAAGCCAGAAAGAAATTATTAGGAGAGTTAGTATTCTAGGAGTAAAGAGAAAGAAAATTTCTGATAAACCAGGTATATGAATCATGCCGGGAAATTCCATCTCTTCAGAGACTGAAGTAGGAGGATTGTAAGTTCTAGGACAGCCTGGGCTACAAGGATACCCTGTCTCAAAAAATTTTCCCATGTACTTGCAGATTTTTTAAAAAATCAAACGCAAATAAAAAGAGAAATGTGGGGTTTTAAAAACTGGAAAGCAAAATTCACAAACGGGGACAAATGACCCACATTTATGAAATTGTCTCTCGTTCTAATTCAAGTTAAAAAGAGGAACAGGGTGACAGTCTGTAGTGAAACACAAACCTGCTCAGTTATTGTGGGGAAGCAACGCTGAAAGTTTTCCACAGGGAAACAGCACAGCAGAGTAAATGTCTTTAATTCATTTTTTGTGCTACTTTACTGAAAGGTGTATTTCTTTTTGTGAACGAAAAAATAAATAGCTCAAATTTAGTTTTTTAAATGTCATCTTCTCTATGGGATTATAGAAGTGTATTTTTTCTAAATATTTTGTGTTTAATGTGCATTAACTTCTTTTAAAAGTAAAACATACTTTCAAAAATATTCAGTTAATGAAAACTAGGTGTTTCAATTAATTCAATTCAACAAGGGTGAGTAAAGGGATGTCCCAAATATGGGTAGTGGAAGAAAGGAGAGAAACTAAAATAGATAGGTGATGAAACAGAAAAATATTAAATACTAAAATTGGGGTGTTGCTGACAGAAAATTAAGAAAATGATACAAAGAAATTGTATTTTCACTTACTAACACATTCTCAAATTAAATTACCTTTTTCTAAATAAAGACAAAATCAGTCTGGACAAATTGAACTACTCCAATGCCAACATACATGAATTAATGCACAACTATAATGTAATTATAGATACCCAACATGATGGTACATTAGGTACACATTCTTTCTAGTGAAAATGTCTAATATCTAAAATTTCATAACCATGTAACTTACAAATAAATCTAGTTAGTGGCATTCTTCCATTCATAATTATATGCCAAGATAACTAAGTAAGTAATAGGCAGTAGATAAATAATATTTCCAGTCTTCAGCATCAGGAAATCTAACCTAGTAGTCTCTCATTTTCTGTTCATTGAATAAAAGGAAGAGGGGATAGGTAAAAGAAGAGAGGGAGACAGAAAGAAAGAGAAAAAGGAAGGGAGGAAGGGAGGGAAAGAGAAAGAAAGAGAGAAAGAAAGGAAGGAAGGAAGGAAGGAAGGAAGGAAGGAAGGAAGGAAGGAAGGAAGGAAGGAAGGAAGGAAGGAAGGAAAAGACAGACAGAAAGGGGGAGAGGGAGGAGAGATTGGAGGAGGAGTTTAAAGTCCCCGTGCATGCATGTTAGCTCACTGCCGTGATTATTGATAACAGTTCGTTGTTTTCAGGTTAGATTGACTTTAGCACCCGCAGGGCTGCAGTTTTGCTCCCGTTGACATGCTGCAGCTCTCCTTCACCACCCACTCCCATTCTTCTACTAGGTCTAATCACAAGGAGACTTCAGAAGCATTACTCAGAACACTCAGTGTAAGAGCTTTATGCTGTTTTGAAACATGACGTTCCTAAAGACTATTTCCAGCAAATCAAATCAGTCCTGGATTATGAAGAAGAATATCCAGAGAAGTCTCTCCTAAGTAGAAGCCTTAGTGTCTTTGCACAGGCTTAAGCTCAAGTTTCACAAATGGAATTTATGATTGCAGAATTACCCATTCCACATTGTCTTTCAATCCTCACTAAGGAGATTGAGGGCTTCCACTGGCTACATTCTCATTGGTGATATTGGAGGAATCCTTTCTCCCTTGCATTCAGGTCACAATGCTAACTTACCCAGTTTCATCCACTGTAGGCTTGTTATAGCAGCCAGTGCAGAAACAATGGAAACTCTTAACAAGGTGAAAAGTGAGCTACAGTTTTAAGAACGCATTCATTGTTCTCCCCACACCCTTCCGTCTTCTACAAAAACACCTCATACATGTGGCTGAGATTAGCTTATACTTTGTAAAAGAGAATGCTTAGTTTCATTTGAGAAGTTGTTATAAAATGATCACAGCCCGTTATGTTGTATAAGAAAACTGTAAAATTCTAATGTTATTGTTAAATCTTTTCAAAATGAAAGGATATGCTCCTTTTACACGCTCAGGTGTGAGTTTTGTTAGTATCTGTACAGTGTTTCAGCATTTGGAATAAATTTTCATTTACTGACAAACAATTCTTGTAATGATCTAACTTTTAGAATAAGTCAGATATAGCTCACTTGAATTTTGCATTGTACTTATTAAAGCAGGAGAATCTTTTGCTTTTACTCGTCTTCTTAAGGCACACCACCAATCAACACTTCGTCAGAAAATAAGTATTTTCAGCAACAATACTATTTAAGGAATTCAATTTCTCTACAGTTTAATCTCTCTATAATTAAGAGTCTAATACATTTTAATTTACTGGCAACAGCTTCGTTGCTTAAATTCCTTTGTCACACAACTCAGAGGCTTTAAGAAGATTAATTGACTTAGAATAAGAAAATTTGAAGATGATTATTATAAAATCTTAATAGTCAAAGCTTTTGTATACCTTGGAGAAAGGAAAATTGCTCTTGGAAAATCATTATAAAATTAACTTAAATATAAGGATATATTTAATTCCAAATATAAACAAATTCTAAATCTAATTAATGTATAAAATGTATTAGTTCTTAAATAAACATAACATCATTTTTAGACTTCCCTCCACTTTCTTATTAATTTCTTAACTCATCTTTGATCTATAAAGTTTTGTGATTAAGCTTTTATTTGCAGTGTTAAAATTCTTTTTAAAGGGGATTGGAAGCATGTCATGCCATTTATTTTCAATTTTAAAAAGTTATGGTTTAATTAAACACAATAATACATAATTTGAAAATATGTTCAAATAGTCATTGAGCTTTATATATCATAAGAAAGAATTTTAGAGACACATGCATGTCAGGAACCATTCAGTATTTAAAAATTTCTTCTTTAAAATTATTTCTTTGCCAAATAAATGCAAACTTACATTGACTTTTAATAAATGATTATTTCAATGAAAAATAACAACAATATAAAGGTCAAATATTTCTTACCATTGCTGGGTGAAATTGAGTTTTGTCCTGAAAAAAAAAAAGATTTCTTAAAATGTTTCAAGTTTTATTCATCCATATAAATATAGAACTTATATACATATATGTGTATCATCTTTATATTAGCACATTTACAGTAGCACATTTTTTTTCTCAATGAAGCTAGATTCCTGCTTCTGTTTATTTATTTTTGACAGTGTTTTGCTATTTTATCCAGGCTGGTCTTGAACTCTCCCGAGCAGCTGGGAATTCAGGCGTGCACTATCCCAGCCTTATACTCTTTTCTAACATTTTATTTCAAAAACTCAAATATATTTTTTAAACTCAGTAGTTTCTTTAACGCTTAAAGTAATATATATATATATAATAAAAAAGACACTAGCAATAATTCTAAGCCTGTAAAGTCTATAAAAATGTGTATCTAGATGTACCACTTATTTAGATAATGATTATTCAATGGGTACTTACTACCGTCAAAACACAATGGCATATAGTTAGGGAGATAATATGAACAAATATAGCAGCTACCTGCCCCTGGTGAGATGTTTAGTGTGAGATATAGATAAAATAGAGCCACACAATACAGACGAGACAGAATGTGCCATTAACATCCACAGGGGGGTCTTGTTATTGAGACATCTATGGTTCATGACTGGCTGATGGGGCAGGTGCTGGAGGGGTTCCTTGAATGTACGTTTTAACTGTGACTTAGTGAATATAATGTGTAGTTCTAAAAGAATAAGAATTTGGGTTTTATCTCACAGTCTTTAGACAGCCAGCAGAGTGATGTCTTTAAAGACTGTCTGATGGAGAATCATTCAAATTACAGATCAAATTCTGTAAGATGTAAAATGGACAAACACAAGATGAAGTTAGAGGCAGGGAAATCCCAAGACTACAGGAAGCACAATCAGGAATGAAGGTCTCCTAAAAGAGATGCTGATTTCCCAAAAGAAACCTGGGAGACGAAAGGGGCCTTGAAACACTGTGAAGTCACTCCCAGGACTTGGTGTCTTTGGAATTGGGGAGAGGGAAGAGTGAATGGTAAAAGAGGTGTTCACATGTGTGTTTGTACACAGCATGACCTGCTGTGGGTAGAGAGCAGATATGTTCATGACCTGCTGTGGGTAGAGAATGGATATTTTCATGGAATTAAAAAGCAAAAACAACAACAAACGTGCTGGGGAGTCTATGTGAAATCCTTTAGAAGCATTTGCATGCAGAGGTCGGGCTCACACTGCACGCTGGACTGAAGCACATTCATGGATGTTGTGACTCTGAACATGAAGCAGATCTCCAAATCATATAACAGGAAAGTCCAAGATAGAAAGCTGGAGTTAAGTGAGTATCAGGGAGAGGCCACCAAAGTTGACTGAGTATCTCCGGTAAGAGGGAAGCAGATGCCAGGAAGGTTTAGGCAGAGGGTGTTTCTAGAAGGAAATAATCAAATAATATGGTCATGACATGGGTCAGTTGGGACTGTCACATGAGTCTATACACGTGTTACTGAGAAACTGTTAAGTGTGAGTGTCATGTGAGCTGGATTCCATCCACAGTGAAGTGAAGCATTTCATTCCTCATCTTACTAAATGACTGTCAAAAACAATAAAGCATTATTTACAAGTGACAACTGACTCTGTGAAAGATAATCAAACCTCAAAAGGAAGAAGGGTTGGCTATGATTACAATAGCATCTTGTCAAGACTTTTCTTCTCTGAATATGAACTAAGCTGAAAATTACCCCTAAGAGGGACCATCAGAGGAGGACAGATCAGTACTTTTAGCAACGTTCTCTGCCATAGTCCTTGGGACAAAAGGTTGTTTTACATACATATGTGTCTGTGTATATGCATATATATGTACATAAAAAATCACTGATGGTTGATATTAAACATTTTTCTCCTATATCTCTACTTCTTTCTTGATCATTCATATTTTAGTATGCTCATGAATTATCTTATCTTCCAAAACATGTATCATCAGGTGGTTTGTCATTATGCTAATATCATAGAGCACAATTAAAAGGGCTACAATGTCACTGGGTAAAATGCACTTAGGTTCCATTGTTGATTCAAACACTGCTATGTGGATTATGACTATGTGGTTTTAGTATACATTGTTTGCAAATTTTTCTCATTTCTTGTAGTCAGCATGCATATATATATATGTTTCTATCCCATTTAAAGTATTTTTACTTTCTTTTTCTTCTGATCCATTCCTTTTCTCTCAATTAATTTATAAATTAATCTCATGCTGACTGGAAAAAGAAACAATTAAAAAAATGTTAATACATCAGTAATTAGTTTACAAATAAATGAAATGAAAATTATTCTCATGGCCATTTTAAAGAATGTAGCATATCAACAAATTTAAAATATCCAAGTTGCTTTAAATGTAGGAACACACAATGCTTTTCATTATGTGAAAAATCAATAGACTTTTCAATGTCTGAAATTAGTTTGATATGCCCCTTCTCAATGTCAGGCTGTAGTTCCTTAGAAAGTGAAACAATCATATTCAGTTGAATTCAATAACTATTTACTATTATGTTGGCTTGCTATTAAAAGGGTCAGCCATGATAAAGGCATTGTCCTTGCCCTAGGGAAGTCAGGAATCCAAAAGACAAATACATCCAAGCTGGCTGCAAAGACATTTAAGTAAGGGATCTACCCCCTTCCGATTGATAATTAAAAATTAGCAAGGACGGGATGGAGAGATGGCTCAGTAGTTAAGAGCACTGGTTGCTCTTGCGGAGGACTTGGGTTCAATTCTCAGTGCCCACGTGGCAGCTAACAACTGTCCGTAACTCCAGTTCCAGGGAATTCCACAGCCTCTTCTGACTTCCTTGGGCATTGCATGACACAGGTGTATGCAGACAACACACTCATACACATAAAATGAAAATAATAAATAAAATATTAAAAAGAAGCTTTAGCAAGGATTGTATAACCTGATGGAGAGAAGGACACTGAGAAGCAGCTTCAGTGAAATGCACACTCTCTGCTCTATAGTCTGTGGTGAAGAAATCATTGGATGATTTTGAATATGAGTAAACAAAGGAGAAAGGATATCAATGCATCTCAACCAGAGAAGCTTCCTCATGCAACAGATGGTGATTAACCCAGAAAGCCACAACTGGTCAAAGTATGGAGACCAAGATACTGCAGAATGCTTGTCCCTGAATAGGACACATATAAACCTCTGTCACCCAAGGCTCAGGGACCATTGCTGAAGAAAGGTCTAAGAACCAGAGGTGGTAGAAAACCACAAGGAAGGAGACTTTTCCAGGTAGCTAGGAAGTTACTCATCTGAGCTCACAGCTATCCTAACAGCATACACAAGACCCATACAAGTTCAAGACAGACAAAATTCCAGTATAGAAGTGGGGAAATGAGTAACAACCCCAACTCCAGCTGAGGAACTATTGGCAACCAATAGCTACTGGAAGAGGGGTTTTCTTCAAAGGTGTGAGTCTAGATAGGTCACCCTGACTCCAGTGAATGGACTCACACTGAAGGGCATCTGGGGACACAAATTGGACTTGATGGGTTTTAATATCTCTAACAGAGTACATGAGAACTGGTTGTAGGGGGGCTATAAGAGAGGTAAAAATAAAGGAAGGGTCTAAATAGCATCAAAATATATTGTATGAAAGTCACAAAAATACAATAAATATAATTTTGAAAGACATAAAGGAGAAATCAAACAGATGTGATGTTGACAGCTTTCAGGAAGAGCTCAGGGGTGGGAACTACAGGCCCTGACAAGGGGCTCAACGTTGCCCTGAAGGTGACAGAAACTACTGGACCAACAACAATGGAGAAGAAAACAAATAGTAACTTTGGTAATAAAGGAAAAAGGCATCTTAGTGTAAACTACACACAGTGAGAGCTCCACCTATTGTTGTGCAGAGCCTTCTGCTTATTAGCTTGTTGCCACCAAAATATGTATCACAAAGATCGAGCATGTGATAGAAAGATATATCTTATAGCCTATCACATGTTTATAATAACAATTAGAAAATGAATACATGGCCAATACATGAAGACACCTGTGTGTCCATGAGGGGCAGTGTGCATGTCCATTTGTGCACAGGTACACATGTGCACACGTGCCAGTGGAATCCAGTTGTCCAGGTGTCTTCCCCAATTACTCCCCATATTATTTTTGAGACAGGGTCTCATGGATCCAGCTAGAATGGCTGACCGCCAAATCCCGCAGATTCTGCTTTCTCTCCATCCCCACTGCTGGGGTAATAGGTGCATACCATTGTGCCCTATTTTCTTTCTTTCTCTTTTGTAATGTAGATGCTGGGAGTCTGAACTCAGGTCTTCATGGCTTAGCAGCAAGCACGTCCATGGCTGGGCCATTCCTCCAGCCTTAACACCTTGCTTTTGGGGGTTTTGTTGTTGTTGCTGGTTTGGTTTTGTTTTGTTTTGTTTTGTTTTTGTTTTGTTTTGTTTTGAGAAGGGTCTCCTTGCAGCCCCAGCTGGCCTGGAACTTGCTATGTAAACTAGATTGACCTCGTTCTCACAGAAATCTGCCTGTTTCTGCCTCCTGAGTACTGGAATTAAAGTCATACGCCACTTTGCCAGGCCAACATCTTTTATTTTAAGAGAAGACTTTTAAGTACCAGAGTGCAAATGCTAGAAATAAATCAGATTGTCTTCTTTTCCTTGTGCTACACATGTATTAAATGTCTCAGAAAGTTAATTGAATTCCACGTGATTCAAAAGTTTTGGATTTTTTTTAAAGTATGTGGTGTAGAGTATTTCAACGAAAATTCTGAAAAGGAGGACACAAAGTAAATTACAGGAGCAAAGTAGATATATTCTAGATATTTATATTTTTAAAAGATTTTTTCAGAAGTGATATCATATTATCAATTGCTAATATTTATGAAATGTTTACTTACTATGTATTCAGGCCCTAAAAATCTTAGAACACTCAATTGACTTATCTAAGTTAACAAGGACAGGACATGCCAGTCCAGGCTGGAGTCTGAGTCTGATACTACAGGCTAGACTCCA